GACGGCTTCAGCTAGCGCAAAATCACTGATGCTAGCAATGGTGTCATGCTTCACTTAGTGCCCTGCATGACCTGGATGTGTGATGTCTCATTCTCTCTTATACTTCTTATACATTTAAGTGGATTTACTTTGAAACTCACCTCACATGCCATAATCCCTGTGGTATCCTGTCTTGGATCTTATACGTCTTTCCTACAGCACATAAAAATAAGAAGTCATTTAGCAGATAATTTTATCCAAAGCGATTTAATACAGTTATTACATTGACAATCCCCTGAAGCAACCTGGGATTAAGTGCGTTGCTAAAAGAAATTGTTCTGCTGTGATTGCATTATTGGCCAACCAGTAGTATATAGAAGTAACTAACTATAAGTACTAACTATAACTATCTATAAATAATATAGTTATACTAACTATATGTATGTATGTATGTTTTTGTGTGTGCTATATACATATACATACATGCATGCAATTAAAATAAAATTGAATAATTTAAGATTTTAATAATACATTTATATCATTTATTTTATTTTTTAGCATATTTCATAAACATGTCAAACACACAACATTATATCTATAAAGCTATAGTTATATATATATATATATATATATATATATATATATTACTTCAAATAATTATATTGTTTAATTATATTATGTAATAATAATAATAATGATAATAATATATATATTTGAATAAGTGAATATATATGCAATTAAGATGAAATAATTTCATTTTTTAATAATATATTTATATAATTTATATATTTTTGTATATTTCATGCATAAAAGTCAAACTCACAACAATATAATGTTATATAAATTACATATATTTTATGACATATATTATTACTTTAATTATATTGTTTAATTATTATTTGTATGTTATGTTAGAATAGAATAGTGTATTCTAAGCTGTATACAGTTAGTAGTAAGCTGGTATTTATTCAGATCATAGCTTTCTTTCATTAATTGATCTTATTCTGTGAATGTTGGGTTTCTCGGCTCTATTGCTTTCCTGTCGTGACTCTCAAACACCTGGACCCATGTGAGAACGGTGCCGACTTTGATCCAGGCCCAAGAGACCCTGTTTCCCACCCCTGAATTATGGCTCCAGCACAAACATGAAGAGAAACTATAAATCAAATACGAAATACATTGTGACTGGCAGTAGAAATGAAGCGGAGAAGCAGACAAAAGGACAAAAGAGCAGGGTGATAATGTGAGAAATGCAAGAAACCCATGCTAAATATATATCCGAAAGCACTGAGAATCTCCACTAATCACGAACTCATGTCACTTAGTATGGTGCTAAGTAATCACAATCTTAATGAGCGAACCAGAAAGCACTCCTTGATCTTTTTCAACTGCTGCTTTGTTTTATGATCCAAACAAACAGGAACAGAGCTATTTTTTTCCTTGTTTTTAAAGGAATAGTTCACCCCCCCCCACAGAAACATCATATTAATCCACATGACTCAATTAAAAGTCGATTAACGGATAAACTTTTTCACACAAAGTGTTATTATGGTTTATAAACTCATATTCTGGCAAGAAGCAATGGTTTAAAACATCTTAATGATGAATTATTTGTTTCTTACAAACACGCAGCTTTTCAATTCACAAGACATTAATTGATAAACTGGAGTCATGTGGATTACTTGTGGATTATTGTAATGTTTTTATCAGCTGTTTGGACTCTCATTCTGACGGCACCCATTCACTGCAGA